CTAAGAGGAGAATTCCGAGTCTAAGATTCTAGCCCCCTTGAACTATGCTGGCACCTGGAGACGGAGGCCACCATGCTGTGAGTGGAGGGAGCTGGAACCCTGTTTACACCCGACTGGCCCTCAGGGAGTAGTGGCTCATGGAGGGGACCTCCCACCCAAGGCCGGGCAGGCAGGCTGGGGGTCAGTGCAGCCTTGTTGCAGCACCAGGCACCTGCCTGGCAGGTGGCCACAGTTGGGGAGCGCCCCGCTAGCTTGCCCTCATCTGCAGAGGCCTGCTGACAACCTTAGTACCCAGCCCTCTCGCCTTACTGTAAATCCTGGGAGCCCGATTGGGCCAGGCAATCCGGTCGCTCCGGGTCTCCCTTGGCCACCTGGTTCTCCTTTCTCCCCAGTTGGGCCGTCTAGACCCTACAGATCGACAAAGATCTTTTTTAGTCAAGGGCAGGCCATCACACTGAGGTCTGTGACCAGCTGTGGCACTCACGCAGGTCTCCCTTCCTCCAAGGGCATGTGCCCAGGGTGCTGCCCATTTCACAGATGGATACCATGAGGCTGAGAGGAAGCTCCCAAGTCAAGCCAGCGGCCTAGCTGGACTGGGTTAAGGTCTCTTTTTTGTACCTCTCCTACCCAGGGCTTCTGCATACTTTCCCAAGAGGCAGTTTTACAACTATGACTTCATCTCCTTCCCAACAACCCAGTGAGGTGTCCAGGAAAGGCACTGTTATCCCCATTTAGAGATGAGGAAACCAGGGCTCTGCCAGGATCAATGACTTTCCTGAGGACACAGACAGGAGACGACAGAACAGGACCCTGATCTCTTGGGGTAGGAAACTGGTCTTCATAAAGTAAGGCTTGAGAGGAAACTGGGTGAATCCCCTGTGCCCAGCCCCAGGCTCCAGGTTTCCAGGCTGCAGCTAGCACATGCAGAGCCTGCGGCAAGCTGCGGGCGGTGCATGCTCCAGGGACAATGCGGGCAGTGGCACTCACCGGTGGGCCTGGCTGCCCCGTCTCCCCTTTCTCCCCCTTCTCTCCTGGGCTCCCCATGGGTCCGTCTTCTCCCTTCATTCCTGCGGGCCCAGCCTTTCCTGGGGGGGCCCCTGGGGGACCAGGAGGGCCCACATCTCCTGGTTTGCCTCGAGGTCCCTTGAGAAAAGATCAACAACACATTTTTGATTCACTGGCAGAGAAACGAGGGGAGAGAAAGTAAAAGGATGGGAGGTCAGGAGGACTTGGCTCTCTGGGGCTTGACAGGACCAGGCAGAGGGCCTGTCCAACTCCCTGAGGGAATCCGAGGGGGCCTCGGCCACCAGCCATGGCCCATCCCAGAGTGAGTCTGCCTGGCTCCTCCTGGCGCTAGCAGCGGGGCTCAGCCGGGCTTCCGCAGGGCGGGCCCCCCCTTCCCTCCTCCCCACATGGCGTGCAGCCTGGGCTTCTTCCAGAGCCTCCTGCACCCTCACCCCCAGGGGTAAGAGGACCTTCAGACGTTTGTCTGGCAGTGTCCTTACCTTTTCGCCATCATGTCCTGGAGGGCCTGGCAGTCCAATCTCCCCCTGCAGCCAGAACAACAAAAGGTCACTCCCAGATCAGAGGAGAACGATACCTGTTATTCATACAGCACTTGCTGTGAGCCAGGCGTCCCCAGCACTCACGCAGACCGTATGCACGTTCACTGACTCCGTTTTAGAGGTGAGGACCCCAGCACAGAGTTGTGAGCTCAAGGCCTCAAGTGAAGAGTGAAGCCAGGTCCCAGTCCGGGCAAGCTGGCTCCACTGTCCACGATTCGGCCATAACCTCACACCACTGCTTATGACGCCTGGGCTGGGGGGTTTGCCTCCACAGCTCCATGGCCAGGCTGGGTGCCTGCCTCGCTGACTCCCTCAAATTCACCCTTCCTGTCCTGGCCCCCCACGGGGAGCTCCCTTCACTTCACATCAACCCGTGTCCCTTTAAGTCAGGGAGGGAGATAAAGGATGTGTGGCCTCTGCTTTGATGCCAAGTAAACACCCAGCTGCACCATCAAGGCAAGCCCAAAGGAAAGAGCAGTGAATTCTACCTGCTAGATCAGGGGAAGCTTCAAGGAGGAGGCAACCTTCAAGTTGGGCTTAAAATGAGAACTTTGACAGGTAGGGAAAATGGGAAGGGACTTCAGGGGAGAAGGTCTCATGAGCAGAGGACAGAGGGGTACATGTGCACAGCCTTCTGAGAAAAATCACAGAGGCGATAGGGGCCAGAGGATAAAAGGAAGCAGAGGCAGGAGGTGAGGGAGGGGTGAGATGGAGGAGGCTCAAGTGCCATGTGCCTTGATGGTAGGTTAGGGTCCCTGTTGTGGGTCTGGCTGGGGCAGGGGCTTGTCCAGACCTAGGTCTACCACGTCAGAGGTTCTGTAAATTACAGGAGCCCAAGACAGACAGCCAGGAAAGAATGGCAGAGCTGAGGGTGGGAGGATGAGGGCACCGGCAGGCGGTACCCTGGAGCACCAGGGAGAATACCAGGCCGGAAGATGAGAAGGACACAGGCCAAGGGGCAGCCCTGGGGTCCGGCACTCAGAGACTCACCCAGGGCTTCTGTAGGGTCTGCACCCCACCTTGTCAAGACAGTGTTACCTTCTGTCCTGGATTCCCTGGAGCTCCGGGTGGGCCAATTTGCCCGGGAAGACCAGGGGGTCCCTGGAAAGGAAAGAAAGACGTGTGGGGGGACTTTCTGACTGAGGAGGGGTGGCCTGTCTCCAGAAGTGGGGCATATGTGTAGGCTGGTGTATAGACATTGGTCATTTCCAAACATTTCATCAGTGTCAGGAACACTTTTTTTTTTGTAAAGAAAATAACATGGAGACCCCACAGTGTAAAGCAGATAAACACTGAGTGTACTTGGGTTAAAATGGGGGCGGGGATCCTACAGCCATGCCTAAACAGCCTCTCTCTCCTCTTCTCTCTACACCCTGGGGGCTCCTTGGGCTCCAAGAAGACAAATCTGACTCCCTGATAGTGATTTTAAAACATCTCCAGGAAACAACCCAAATGTCCATCACCAGGTGAACATCTGATATATTCATACAATGGAATACTATGTAGCAGTGAAAAAAGACCCATGCACTGTGCAGGCCATGCCATGGATGAAAGAAACTCTGACACATTCATTTGAGCAAAAGAAACCAGATGTAGATACGTATATACTGTGTGATTCCATTCACTGAAACTCTAGGATAAAGACTAATCTACAGTGACAGAAAGCAGATCAGCAGTGGCCCAGGTCTCAGGGTAAGTGGAACTGACTCCTGAAGTGCATGGAGGAACTTTCTGGAGTGATTGAGGTGGTATGGTAGATACATAGGTGTATACATTTGTCAAAACTCAGCAAATTCTACATCTAAAATGTGTACTTTTTTTTGTATGTTAATGCTAACTCAAGGTTGATTTTAAAAATTAAAAAGTTTCCAGGAAAATTTTGCTTCAAAGAGCTATTTCAAATAATATATTTTAATGTTTCCAAATGAAGCTCACTGATTCAAAAATCATGTGGTTAATATCGATTTCTGGAACTGGGGCATCATATGACTGGTGTTTGATGCTGGGGTTGTATCACCCCTAAGTGTGTTGTTGTGTGGCGTATGGCCACTAAAAAATACTAAGTGAATTGAAATGCTAGTAACTTGAGAATTTGTGATCTCCCCTCTCTTCTTTGCCTTGGAAGTTAAACCTGGTGGAAATCATTTTACCTACAAATACTCACTGAGGGCCTGTCACTGGTAGGCACACGTGCAAAATCCCGACTGAGAATTGACTGGTTTTCTAGATGCAGATAATGAAATCGATTTCTATGAATGAGGGAAATGCGGAGGGTCGCTACTGATTTTTTAGGATTATGCACTTCATTAGTTAAAGGTTGAGTAAGAACCTTTAGGAGGAGAAACATAACAATACCCCTCTCTATACCTCTAGTTGCCTGACATAGCTGTAACGAGAACCCAGCATTTGCCCTGTGACAGGAGTGTGCTGCTCAGATGGTGAAAAGCCACGTCAGGAGAGAGCCACAAGCCCTGCTAAGGCTCAGATCAGCCCCCACCCAGCAGCCCAGCGTCTGCCTTCTGGAGGCAAGTTTCAGTCCTGGCTTCCAGCCTGCCCTCTCCCAAGTCCCAGCCCAGTGCCCGGGGAAAGTGAGGAAGGACGAAGACTCACCATCAAGGCCAGCGTCCGGATCTCCTAAAAACCAACACCATGCCATCAGTTGAGGAGCAAATCAAGAGCCACCTGCAGGGTCCCCTTGGCCCAGTCCTGGAAGCATGGGAGCCGGGCCCCTCAAAGGGGCACAGCAGAGGTAGACCCTCTTGGGAGGCTTCGTGCTTGCCAGCCCCACACCACCCTCACATCTCCCAGAGGTTTGTAATCACTGGACAGAGAACATCCCACATGCACCAACTGCTGCCTTGAGGCTGTCCTACAACAGACATGTCCTAAAATGGACTGCAAACTTCCACTCTACCAGATAGGGAGGGAAGCGACATCTCCTGTCTTTTCTGATCACTCCCTCCTTGATCTTCCCTCTTCTTCTAGAACCCAGATTTAACGCTCTGGTGTACCTCCCTTTAAACAAATTAGATGTGATACAGCACTATGGAACCATTTGAAAAACAGATTAGAGGGACAATTGTTGGTGTTAAAAAAAAACGATTGTACACCTTGTAAATGGATTCAGCTAGGTACAAAGATTCCTTTAAAGGAGCAGTTCTCAATCTAGGGTGATTTTGTGCCCCTGGGGACATTTGGCAATGTGCGGAGACATATTTTGGTTGTCGTGGCTTGGGGTGGGGTGGCATCTAGTGGGTAGAGAGCAAGCATGCCCCCAGCACACAGGACTGCCTCCCCCTCAACAACCCCACAGTCAAGATTATCCAGCCCCAGGTGTCAGTGGCACCCAAGTTGAGAAGCCCCGCCTTTCAAGGAGGGTACCATCTGAACCTGAAAGATGACTAAAGTGACAAAGGCAGATGTGTTCCAGGAAGACAGATGCTGCCATGTGAAAGGGGAGTGTGTGTTTTGAAGAAATGGGGCCCCAGAGCCCTGGATTGACCAGCACCCCGCAGGTGCCAAAATGCTTCAGTCATGGCTCTCAGTGACCAGAGGCAGGATACCCAGCCAGCTGGGCGCAGACTGAGAGCTGGGCCACCCTCATTCCAAATGAGAGGCTGTGTGCCTGGGAGCTGCATGGGGGAGGCTGAAGGAGAGAAGGCCATGGGTCACCTGTCCTGGAGGCTCTGCACAGCAGCCTGTAGGGGGTCCTGCCCCCTCATCAGGCCCTGGGGCGGAGCCCGGAGGCCCCTGAGCCCCTCCAGGTGCCTAGTTTCTGGGAGGGCCCCGCTCACCTGGAGAGCCTCGTTGATGTTTCCGTTGTAGTCCACCATCTCTCCTTTCCCTGGTTCGCCCTTGGAGCCCTACGAGACAAGTGAAACCTCCACCCAGGGCCTGGGCCAGCAGGGACCTCAGGACAACTGCCACCTGCTTTCTATCAAACAGGACCACAGCCAGCACTGGCTGCAACACAGAAGGATCCAGAGCAGCTGGGCGGGGGGGCTGCTATCAGGGGGCTCCAAACACTCTCAGAGGAAGCCCAGGGGGTCCAGAACCGACAGAGAAGACTCCATGTGAGAACCCTGGGCTAGACAGGCCTAGGGGAGACTGAGTCCAATCATGGCTGCAGTTCAGACCTCTCTGGGGTCAGAACGCTCTCCCCGCCCTCCCCTGCAAGGCCTCAGGGACAAGCCACTTCACGCTGTGATCCAGGGAGGTGAGATGTGATGCTGTGACTCTGGGTGAGAGATGCACGTACCTTGGGGCCAGCAGGTCCTTGTTCTCCAGCTGCTCCAGGCTCCCCCTGTTGCACAACAGAACTGGAGTGAAATGGGCATAAAGCCAGTATGAGATGTCCCCACATGGGCCAGGCGTTGGGGGCCATGGAGGGGGCTCAGGGGGCTCAGATCAGCTCAGGCCAGGGGGTGCAGAGCAACCTGCGCATTCATGTGCAGGCTCCACCCCTCAGAAAGCATCTCCACCTGCCCATGCTCCCCGCTCCCTCCGAGCTCCTCCAGCTTTGCCCTTGAAGATATTCTTTCTGTCTTGTGTTCGTTGTTGGCGACTCTCCCTGTGTCCGTCTGGCCACCTCTTCCCAGTCCCCTAAGTCAGCCATCTCCTCGGCAGCAGGGACCAGACCCTTTGCCCCTCTTTATTTCCATTCTGCTCAAGGAACAAGGGCTCAAAAACTTTTCGCCAATTGTCTGTGTGGTTGGTAATCACCATGGAGAGCCCAGGCGGTCCCTCCAGGGGCCTCTGCTGGTGAGAGACCCAAGCTGTGAGAGGAAGCGTGGGGCCAGGTGCGGCGTTAGGAACAGCCGGCCTCCTGGAGTGGGTGGGCTCGGAGGATACGTTCCTGTTGGAAACAGGATGGGACTATGGGGAATAGATGAAACAGTGGTGTAAATTGTGAAAAGCAAACTACAGTTCCAATTGTTCTGGAATAATGTGAACACTGAACACAATTTAAAAAATTCAAGATAGAAAGTAAAAATAAAGGGAGAACAAACTCTTTAATATAACTCAACTCCTGCTGACCCTGCAGTCGGCCAGCTCACGGAGCGTTACCTCCAGGGAAGCTGCCCTCCACCTCCCCGTGCCCACGGTCTCTCGGGCTTGGAGCACCTGCGGGGAACACAGCAGCACCGGCCAGCCCGTCCCCAGGGAGCAGCGGAGACAAGTGGGAGCCCCGCCCTTACCCTCTGGGTCATTCCCCAGCCCCTGCGTCCCATCCCTCGGCCTGCCTTTGCGCGGCTGCCATCTCAGTGGGAGCTCTCCAAAGCCCAAGCTGATCAGGAGAGACAGCGGGCAGGAGTCACGGCTATCAGCTCTGTGCCCTGGGGGCCCAGATGCAGGCACGGCCAAAACTCTCAGTCTCTCTGAGCTGGGCCTCGAGTTCCCAAGCCAACCCTCATCCTGCAGCTCTCGGATCTAGAGGCCTCTGTACCTTGTCTCCTTGCCGTCCTGGGGGGCCGGCCTGGCCATCAGCTCCAGCATCCCCCTGAGCAAGAGGAGAGAGATGGGATGAGCACACACAGGGCAGCTGGGACAGCTGTTTAAGGCAGCAAAGACGGTCTTGCTGTTGATGTCCTAGTGTCTCTGAGCCTCTGCCCCCTTCCTCAGCTTCGACTAACTCACCCCATTCCACCTATTGACTCCTCCTCACCCCTGGGCCCAGCCCAGGTCTCACCTCCTCCAAGCAGCCCTCCCCACCTACTCCCTTACTCCTCTGAGTTCTGCACTGCCCAGCCCGCCTCAGTTCTCGGTTAACACACGCGCGCCCAGCTCTGTCGAGAACCCCACTGGTATTGCCATCAGCCCCTGGCTGCGGGAGGCTGGTTACTTTGGAGCCTGGAACACTTACGAAGGCACACCTCATCAGTCCTGTCCTGGGAGACAGAGGGGAGCGGGAAGGCCCTGGGCACGTGGGGAGGCGGCCCCAGGAGACCTAGGACAGGAGGAGCAGGGAGAGGTAGGAGGCGGCCCACTCTAAGCACTCTACTTATTCAACATTTTCTCTCGTCCTGGAAAGAGGACGTGGGTTTGGGGACAGTCTTCTAGCTTTCTTCCCTTTCGTCCCAGGACACAGGGGCAACAGTGGCCAGGTTTCCCTGACCCCAAATCAAGACCCAAGAGGTGCCTGGTATCCATGCCCTGGGGGGTCAGCGGGACAGACTCAGCACTGGAGATGTCCCGGAGCCCAGGTGGCAGGGCTGTCTTTGGCAAAGCTGGTGCTCCTGCCAACGAAGCTCTTCCCACCACAGTCACATGAGCATGTGGAGGTGAGCCCGAGACCCTTCCTGCTACTTCATCTGCCTATCTGTGGGGTTCCTTGGGGCTCCCTACACTATATTCCTGGAATTGTGGGTTTACTTCTCCTGGATGGTGGGCAAGCTGAGGGCAGGTTCCCTGCAGCCTCAGAGCGCACGCAGAGGCCAGCCCATAGCAGGCCCCTGATAAAAGTCGGTAGAATGAATGAAGATCTTGCCTCAAATCATGCAGAGTAACTAATCCTTTCCTTTTAAGCTAAGAAAGAGACCCTCCTTATTTCCCTAAGCTACTAAAATAAACCAAGCAATGCAAGAGGCATCTGCTTCGGAGAACTCAAATCTCACCACTGTGGCTCCTGCCCTGTGCAGGGAAAGTGTGGGCAGTCCCATTCGCAGCTGCCCCACTGCTGCAACCCTGCCTCCCCGCAGTCTGCCACACCAGCCGGGCCCAGCTGATCACTGACCCACGACTGATTCAGAGCCTGGGCCAGGGGCCTTTCTGGTTGTCCTAAGGCTTTGCAGCCATTGGTCCCTGACACAGTTACATCACAGCCATTTGAATCAGTGGGACCATCCGTCTGCCCCAGAGAGGACATCTCTCCTAGATGGTTGAATAATCACTGGCTGGAAGCAGATACTTGATCCAGATGACCTTTCCAGAATCCACCAGAAAAACCATACAATTGGAGCAGGAGAGCAGGCAAGGTGCCCAGGACACAGAACATCTGAAATGGGCTAAGGATGAAGGCAAACATCTGCCTTGAGCACTGATCCCAGGGAAAGACTCACCTTTGGCCCTGGGGGCCCAGGGAGCCCTGGGGGACCGGGCTCCCCTCGGCCTCCTCCAATGGAGTTGCCAGCATCACCTTTTTCTCCCTGGGGGTGGAAGGTAGAGTTACCATGACTAGCTCTGGAGGGAGGTGGTTGAGCCCTGTCTTTCCTCCCCTCACAGTTCAAAAGGAGTGAAGGCAGCAGACTGTCCTCAGTCTATGCTGAGTGTTGGGGGACATGAAGGGACTGCAGGCTCCAGGATGGCTGGGGACCTGAGGCCTTCAGCAGTCTGGCTGTGGGGTTTGAGGAGAGAACAGAGCTGGTTAGTGAAGGGGAACGGGTGTAGAGTTGGAACAAGACACCCATCGGAACCGGGATCTAGAGCAGTGTTTCTCAAAGTGTGCTCTG